GTATTTTAGAGCTGTGCCAGCCTTAACGGAGAGAGGGGATATTTAATACTTCCGCACTTGCTGTTGCCAGCCCGCGCCATCCCACCCCCGGGCTTTACAGGCCTCACTGGGCCTGGCAGCGGGACTAGCGGGCACATGCCGGCCTGGGCGTCCCCACTGCTCCAGCTCTCCCAGCCGCTACCCTGCCACCCTGGCACCAGAGGATGAGGAAGAAAGGGGAGACTGCGGCCCTGCAGAGGCAGATGAGGGCAAAGGGGCCTTCATGGTTGTCCCAAAAAAATGGACAACCGCCTGACACATCAGTGAGCGCCCCAGAGCTGATGGATAAGGGGAGAAGTTGTGCTGAAAGTGCACAGACTTTCAAGATATGAAGCCTAGTCTGGGTTTTGATGACCTCTCAGCACAGCTTTGCCCAGGCGGGCTGCCCCGAGCCATTGCAGCCGCTGCATCCTGGCCATGCTTTCATGTACTTTTGCTCTCCACAGACCTCTTTACAGCTTTTCCTAGGTTGCTGTTAAATAAGGTGTCAGATTCTAGTCTGCATGTTGTCCATGCAATCCATGTTTCCTTTTTCTGTATTACTTCTTTACAGTTCACCTGATAGGACTGAAAGCCAACTGCATTTCATTGCATCCATGTCAAGACTCTTGCAGTCCTATCTTGCTCAGAATTCTCCCAGACAGGAAAGTCAGATAAATTCATTTTTGAGCAAAAGGAGAGAACTTTAAAGCTTCTTGTTAGAGGACGTGGAGGACCCTGACAGCACTGCTCAAGAAGGTAAACCAGCTCAGAATAGGAGCCTTGTCAGGTAGATTTACAGTGGCTGCTAGGTCATATGAGGGTGAACTCAACTAGAAGACCTTACACTCTCTGAAGGAGGAGAGGAACTATGAAGTGTATGGGTAGGAATGCAACAGAAAGGGGGTCAGTCAGCCCCCCAGGCCATTATTTGGGGCATGTGGGTGCTCAGGGATGGCACTCCTTCCAGGAGGGTGACAGGGGCACCCACCATCAGGGCATGCCTCTAGATAGGGGGAAGTGGAACTCTAAACCCAGGCATTGCTGGAGACTCTCAGGCCCTCCTTGGTTTTCAGCATTTAATACATTTCACAAAGGGCTTCCTTAGCAGCTTAAACCAGCAGATTATTTTCTGGCTTGTGACTTGCTTTGGGCTGACTGAATAGAAAATCCCAAGCCTAGTGCAACTCCTGTTCTGTGTTCTGCCACAAGAAGTATAATCTCCACGCACAGTCTGGTGTGCAGAGCTTTGGGGAGCAGAAATTAACCCGTGATGTCCCCCAGGGAGGCAAAGAGAGAGCTGAAAGTCAACTAAAACTCAACTCGCTTCTGCTATGGTTTGGGAAAGGTGATACAAGGATGCAGAAGTTCACTGTGATACGGGACATGCAGACAGGTTTTTGATCTTTAGGTTGTGTGAAGAAGACAAAAATAATGATGTCATTTTCAAACTTTACTTTCCTACCATGTAATAACTGGAGCAGGCTAACGCCTGACTTATTCCTGTGTTCTCCCTAGAAACACAGTTTTCTGAGACTTCTGGTGCCAGGTTCAACGAGGGAGGGAGGTGGCTTTGGCTTATTGGCTTTCTTCGTGTCATCTCAAGCCCCTTTTCCACTCAGGGTCAGACAGCCTCCAGTTGCCATGTTACACATAGCCCTTCCTTCACAAAGCCTCTGGGGTAGAGGAGATGTGGCACTGGCTTGTACTGCGACCACAAGGCCAGTGACATTGGTGTCTGTAATCAATAGACCGGGATGGTCTATGCCTTTGTTCACATTACCATGTTCTGGGCTTTCTAATACAGATCAAAACAACGATCATACCCTGAGGCAAACGAAATGCCAGTGAGCACTTTGCCTTCTTAAAAGCTTTATTTTCTTAAGCTTAAGATCTCCAATACCTCAGCTGAAGTTATACCTGGCTTTTTTGCAGTCGGCTGCTTAGATATCTTAGGAAGGTAAGAAAGCAGATGCTGAAAAGACATCTCAAATTAGCATTAAAACCAGTCACATAGAAAAGTGCCTTTAAAAACTGAGTAAGGCAGAGAAAAAAAAGACTATCAAAGTCAGAAATACCCACAAAAGCTGAAAACATCCTTAGGGCACGTTTGACACTCCACAAAAGCCTGCAGGTCAGCAGTCTGCCAATCTAACATGACTTCTCTGCAGTCCACCCAATCAAGTCAACCACTTTGTTGGAGGCAAATCAACCTGAAAAATTAAAGCTGTAGACAAGTAGAGTGGCTGAGCTCCCAAAAAGCAAAGTATTTCCAAGTACAATTTGCAAGACTTCAGCCAAGCGCTAGCATCTTTGTTGCCCATGGGCTTATTATTGTTCATGGGATGCGACTTTCTGTCTGATCTGTGGTCTTGTAACAGTACTTCTACCACTTCTCAATGTCATCTCCTACTTTTTGGAGAAGGAATTGCCCGGGTTTTGTCCTTTTGGGAAGAAGATAAAGGAGGGAAGTTGGCAAATTAAAATGCATCTAATGCAGGCTTCACTTTTTAGCCCTTTTTTAAGACCAGACCCAGTTCTTCCCTAAGTGTTTCGTTATTATTTAACACAGAAGACTGGGAATGAAGCCTCAGACCAGCTAGAATTCCTCCTCCTCCTCCTCTTCCTGCTGCAAAAAGACCTTAGAAGCCATCTCTGTAGGCCTCTAAAGATAGGTATTTTCCTCTGGTATCAGAGCTGTCAGATCAGCCTTTTCTTTATTCCCAGGGCAAATGTGACTTTATGTATACTACCCTGCTGAGGAAGGTCTTAAACAACTTGTTCTGCTCTAACATGACAGGAGATGAACTTTCTTTGCCACCTCACAGCTCTCCAAGATGTGCTGGGGAGGGAAGCAATACACCTACACTGAGTCTTTTAATACGGCTGGCTGGTAAGTCAGGTTTCGGTGTACACTTCCAAAAAATCATATGGCTTCTGGGTGAGTCACATCAGCAACATTACCCTTCCCTTTGCATTTGGACTCCTACGTACGCCGCGGTCTACTGTGCAGCCAGAATTCATTTGCAGAAATCATCAACATCATGATCTTGGGTCATGAAGAATTAAATTGACAGGGTTTTTTCAGTTGTTACAGTCATACTTACTTGCGTGGACTCTCTGTGGAGTGGATGAAGCATGCATCGATTTTATTTGAGTGACTTTGTGCTTCTTCCATGTTTGATTACCTCTGATGCCTCCTCAAAATGCTCAGTCTAAAAAGCTCTGGAAGTTCACTTGCCACTATCATTTTAAAGAAAGATAACTACATGCTTTATTTTTGTTCTATCCTCTTTTTACCTACCTTCCCAGTTCTCTCTGACACTAAAATAAAACTGAGGTGGCAGCAGAGAAAAACTCTGACTTGACTCACTCAACTAAGATACAGACAGTTTTACACCAACTATTCAAGGAATTCTAGGGCCAATAGCAGCCATGTCATTGGGAAAAACCAGAATATTTTAATATACCATTAATATATTTAATATCAGCTTTTACTTTTATGTCAGTTGCAGCAAGCCTTTTTTTTTTTTTTTTTAGAAAGTCCTGTTTTCATTCTTGGGGATGCTAATGCACTGCACAAAAAACATTAGCCTGTTTGGAGTTGCAACATTTGTCAGCTGAGAGTTGAAGAGGGGAAGGCCACAAGACTGCAGTTACTGAAACACACGTCTGAGTGGGAGTCGAGTGGGTATTCTTTACTGAGAACATGTCAACCGAGAGAGGGAGCTGCAGAAATGAAACGAGAGACAAAGTAGGAGTTCAAGAGAGAAAAAGCTTTGGCTTCAAGCTTTAGCTCAAGCTTTGTTCAAAGGGATGATGTACGATGTGCTGTATGATTTATCATTTCTTAGAAGTTCTCTTTCTTTCCTGGACTACAATACTTGCTGCTTTTTTTTGCTGCATGTTGCAAAAGTAATAATGTCATATGTTAATATCCTGGAAATAAAATTTGGACATTATTCAACAAAGACTCAGGTAACAGCAATGGATTGAGTAATTAATATTCAAAAATATTTAATTTTCAGATGTTCATTATAAATGTTAAATTCTTGGTTACAGCAAAAAGATTGTAACATACAGCATCACAGTGACATATAACCAAGCCGTTAACAGTGCAGTTTATAACAACTGTGTAAACAAAAAGAAGTATTTCTGTAATGGCACTCTTCATGAACCAAATTCTGGCATACAGAATCTCAGCAGAAGTCAAACATTTACAAAGAAAAGAAAACCCCAAATTGAAGCATAGCGTACGAACCTGGCCAAAACAGCCCAATCCACATTTCATAAGAGGGAAAAGCATCCTCAGAATTTTTGCCTGCTTGCTTTTAAGGAAATTCAATCTGAATTTTTTCAAGGCATCAATCCAGCATGTGGAATATTTTTACTATTATTGAAAGATATGAACAAAAAGTAAACGTCTCTTAATTATGAACATGTGAATACCTCCTACTGTGACATTATTAAAGGAGACGAGATGATTTGGGACTGTTATTGTCTGTATAGCATGACACCTGCAGAAGATATTCCTTAGGAAATAAAAATAATATTGAGCAATAAAATCCAATGTGCTCCATCAAAGAAACTTTTTTGTGCGTAAATATCTAAGAGAAACAGTAGCATCTTACTTTCCTGTAACAGAAGTAAAAGATTTGATTATAAGACAATGTAAAGATACTGTAAACTGTAAGATGGGGTTTGAACTTGAAATACACTCAACTCAAATAGATTTTAAATATTAGCACCTGAAATATAACGCTGGGATTTAAACAATTTTAGTAGCTTTCAGGTTATACGTTAGTTATGGCTTGCTTGACAGATACAATTTTGCCAGCAACATTTTAGTGTTCCGTGAGATCCTCTTAATAAAAACATATAGGTCTGAATGCCACTACATTTTACATGTGTACCTTTCATATGGGAATTTTTGCATCTGTTCCATCTGCAAAGAGAAGGCCCCATAGTAGCAAGAGGTATAGATAGAGCAAAGAAGTTACAGTTATTAAAAATACTGGAAAACTGGGAGTACATGATATAATTACAAGCTGGTATCTTCAGTTTACAGAAAGCTATAAATTTGCTTGTTTAAAAAAAGATATCCAACATGTGCTTACTCACATGCTGACACAGAGTTCATGCAAACTATTAAAAAACCCCAACTTATAAATTTTACCCTTCAGAAATGCTGCATATACTTCATCCTCAAATAGACTGAAGCCCCCTCAGAAACAACAGGGACCTAATGTGCAGATTGACTCAAGCAACATGTAATTGCTTCCTCTGTAATGAGAAGTGAACAGCAGTATCAAACAGGAAATTTCATTGAATTGTACTTCATTTCAAACACTGTTAAGTCCAAATCCAGGCTCAACTGTCATTAAGCAATACAACTACCTTTAAAAAAAAAAGTTATTTTCTTGGAGGAAGGACATTTTCTTCATAATAGCCTGGATTTACTACATTCCCAGCTGGGTCATATCTAGCCACCACAAATGTAGAGCCATCACTAGCAGATGCTTTTCCGACACCCATCTTTTTTGTGTTCTTCCAAACCATTGCTGTGAAGTGACCTGGAGAGGGAGAGATAAACATACGTGTTCATTTTAGGTACTGTCCTGGTTTCAGCTGGGATAGAGTTAATTTTCTTCATAGAAGCTGGTATAGTGCTGTGTTTTGGATTTGGGATGAAAATAATGTTGATAATGTGCTGATGTTTTGGGTTGTTGCTGAGCAGTCAAGGACTGTCCGGCTTCTCGTGCTGGCCTCCCAGCGAGCAGCCTGGGGGTGCACGGGGAGCTGGGAGGGGACACAGCCAGGACAGCTGACCTAGGCTAGCCAAAGGGATATTCCATACCATACGATGTCGTGCTCAGTATGTAAACTAGGGGGAAGAAGAAGAAAAGGAGGGGACGTTCGGAGTGATGGTGTCTGTCTTACCAAGTAACCTTTATGCAAGACGGAGCCCTGCTTCCCTGGAGATGGCTGAATACCTGCCTGCCCATGGGAAGTGGTGAATGAATTCCTTGTTTTCCTCTGCTTGTGTGCGCGGCTTCTGCTTTCCCTGTTAAACTGTCTTTATCTCAACCCATGAGTTTTCTCACTGTTACTCTTGCGATTCTCTCGCCCACCCCACCGGGGGGAGTGAGTGAGCGGCTGCGTGGGGCTGAGCTGCCAGCTGAGGTTAAACCATGACAGGTACTAAACCTGTAACATTCCCATTAACACATGAGAGGTGGGGAAAGAAAGAACAATACAAAACTGTTCTTTCTCTAGCAGGAGAACAAGCTAAGGACATGAAAACAAAACTACATTTAGCATTTTGTCTCAAAAGAGCCTGATCTGCTCTGGTTCCACACTACTATTCCCATTTCCACATCCTATATCCAAATAAGAATACCTAGTAAGAGAACCATGAAAGCAGTAGTTTGATGAGTGTCTGATATAAAATCCAACAAAGAAATCATGGTCTTCACTCCCTGCAGAGTAGCAGTTCTGACAGTGACAATTATTCATTTGCTTTGACCATCTCATACTCCCCCATGTATCTGCATATGAAACTGTTCAGAATAACACTGGTTTTGTGGCTGCTTCTGCCCAGTTGTAATAGTCATTGTGCTGCTCCGTCAGTTGTACCCTCTATACATATACACACGCCATGGGGGAAAAACATGATTTTCTTCATCTGAAACAAGCTTGGGTATATCTCTTGCTTGAGTATTATTCAAGGAACAATGTTCTTCCGTTCATTCAACACCAGATTGTCAATATATAGTCAATGACCTGTGGCTGAGCTCCAAATTATATCTGAAGTTATCTCTGTGATTGGAGTGATATAACTTGTAGAAGACACGTCAATGTAAACAACAGCATAGTACATTTAGTAAGACACCTATAGAATTCCAGTTTAGTATTTACTACAAATTAATTTCCCTTAAAAATAAGTTGCCTTTTAAAAACAAGTTGCCTCTTAAAAACTTTGGAGGAAAGATACAATATTAAAAAAAACACAAATTTTACTTACTTCCTCATTTCTCAGTTTCCTTTTACCCTTTTGTGAATTTCTAACATAAAACTTTGAGGAAATTTTAGTATCTTTTCCCTCTATTTTTTTTTTCCTAGGAAATAAAAGTATTTTTTTGAAAAATACCAAAACAAGTTGGCTAGCTCATTTCTTAAAATAAAAGTTGTGTTGTTGAAGGAACAGTGCCCAGTCTGAACTTACCTGTCCCAGAAGAAAACCCTGGATTTTGAAAGCTGTAATTTTTTATTTCACTGTACCATCTGTCAGCCACATCCTTTCCTAAAAGACAAAAGAAATCTGTGTGGAATCATGACATAAACACAGAAGTGTCACTCACTTATAGCCCGGACGGCAAGATCTTCTGTTAACAGCTAGCAAGAACTTCTAGAAAGATAGAGAAAACGTCTTTTTACTGAAAGGAGTTTTTGAAATGCAGGTAACATGGCAGTAGATGTAACTTACCAAATATTTATTGTTTTGCAATAGCTCTTGCTACTCAGTTACTAATTAGTGCGATGCTTTTTGTTAAGCATCTCATGCCATCAGTGCCGTCAGTGACAAGTTCTGCTCGACGCGAACACAGTCCGTCAGTTCCTCCACTGGAGTGCCAGGGACTGCGTGGCCCAAAGCCTGGGCAGGCGACCCACGAAACAGCTGTAGAACCAGGTAGAGTTCACCCTGTTCAGGGAAGATGTCTGCAGCAAGGTGCTCGTCAGGTAGGACAGAGGTGATAAAGAGTGCTGTACTATCACCGATAGAACAGGAAACAGGACCCCCCGCCAATTCTTGCCTGCAGTTAAAACTTTACACCGTTGAAGTCAGGAAAAACTTTGGACAAGTTTTTTGGACAAGAGGTCTGTGTGGCACAACATTTAGATTAAGTTGGCGCAGAAATCATCTGGCAATTTAACACACTGAGTTTACATTTTTTTCTTCCCACAACCTTCTGTAACTTTCAGCCTGGAAGGTAGCAAAGACACATCTCCCTCACCTTGGATGAGTGCTCCTGTCGTTAAGCTTCTACATACAGCTTTCAGCCGCTCCTCCCTCTTGGAACATGTTTGAAAAGACTTAAGTAAGCCTTGCCAGATTTTTGGAGCAAAAGGACACAGGGACCTTTTCTACAGGGAGGCCTCCCACCTCTGGATGCAGATGTATGAAGATATTGCCTTACAGCTCCAAGCAAACCAAAGAAAAGACACTTCTGACATCCTCTAGTTTTCCATGTTCTCATCAGCATTTAGTACTTTACATTGCTGAGCACATTTATTTTTAGTGGTTCTTACTTGGCACTTGAGCCATTGCGCATGTCTACTTTGAGGCATTCTAACTTGGGGTACTACAGCCAGATACCTCAAATATACACGCCAAGGAGCTGCTGCTATGTGGAAGTCCTTGTGTCCAGCATGTTCATCAAAGGCTGTCACTGATCACAGCTGTATAAGGACTATGACTATGGGCAGTGATGTAGCATTACACGCCTGTGGGTCTCTAAGGTTGATGTTTGCCAAAGAAATAATCCTTCCTTGTTTTCTGCTGACCAGTTAAGGAACCTGATAGAAAGGAGGAGATTCTGACAATCTACAGTGGACCCAGTGGAACAGGCGGCACAAAGGGTAGGAGCTCAGACCAGAACTTGCAGAGGCCATGTACTCAAAAGTCAAGTGTTACTTCTTTTCCATTACTGGTTGTTAGGAAATTCTTGTGTCAAACAATGAGGGAGAAAAAGGGAGCAGGTTTTTCCCTGAGCTACATCGATAATGAAATTTCTGCTTAGCGTTCCAGGAAGTATAACGCAAGGCCAGTTGATTTCATAGCAAGCTGCCAATGCTGTTAAGCCTACTGTCATGAAGAGCTCTAGTCCCTGGTGGACCGCTGGCTGCAGAAGAGCAATGACTCATATCTTGCTATTTTGCAGCAAAAAGTCTTAAACTTGCACTGTTCTAAAAGTCAGACACTGAGCTGCTAAGTCCTTGAGAAACTTCAGTTTCTTTATGAGCACAGCCTGCTAAGAGGATGGCATTGTTAGCCTGGCAAGCTGGCTGTCAGAGCTGTCACCAAAAAGAAAATATTGAATGAAATGCCATCTCTTGAGAGGTTTGTGAACTTATCTATGCCACACTGCTTGTTAGGAATGGTGCTGTCTTAGTAGAGTCAATTTATGTTTTCTACCTAAAAAGGTAGCAAAACCTCTCTTGCTTCCCAAAGTAAATGTTTCAGGAATAACAGTAGGTTCCTTCTTTCCCTGCTCTCCTTGTGCCAGACAACAAACCCCATAGACCTGTTTTACAGCTGAAGTCTGCAATGCTCATAAAATACTTGTTCATTTGCTACTCACACTAAAGCTAAAATGAAGACTGAAAAACATGCAAAGAGCCATCTTTATGCAATTCAAGGGAAAAAGAAAAACCCACCCCAACATATCATCCTGTCCCCCTCTAGACTTCAAAGCTGTGAAGGATTTAGCTGTGTTTGTGGCAAGCTGGGTGGAACAGAAGTACATAAGGTGACTGCAGTCAGATCTTATGAAGCATGTGTATTTTGTGTGTACAAGTACTTAAGTGACTATACTATGTAAGTAGTATTTTTACAGATGTAGGACTGCATTCCCCACTGCTACCAGCACTTCACTCCCTCCATTTTCACCCATGTCACCCATATCAGGGTGACACAGCATAAAGAGCAATTCAAGAAAAAGTCATCCCCAGTCTGCTTACTGTACCTCTAAGAAGTGTACCTAGGCTCCACCTGACAAGAACTTAAAATCTCCATAATTGAAATGTTGCAATGGAAGTTTTGATAAACACAGTATCTCTTTGTAATCTTTTTTTTTAATTTACAGAATACCATCATATGACAATTTCATAACACTTTAATTCAAGGGAGATGGCAATGGCATCAGGTAAGAATACCTCAGTCCTGTACATCAAAAACAATGGGCATAGTTGGTAGCACAATCTAATCTATGATGTGTTAATTCCCAGTTTTTAGGGATGAAAGCTTGCAATTTATTGCAGCTGGGCAGTGAAAGCCTAGAAGCTGATAGCTATACTTCATTATTCATGTGCAGGATCAGGTTATCATTATATGGCATTGCTGTCATCCTCCTTGAATTGAAGGAGTCATTGCATCATAGGCTGCGAGAAATTAAAGACTGACTTGTTCCCGGCAAAACAGAAGGTGACCAAAGGATGAGGCAACTTTTTACAGACTCTGTCTTAAAATCATGTTGAAGAAGTGTCCTGGAAGTGAAGAGAATTAATTGTATTGGTCATACGCCTCAGGAGATGAGAGGGTTCCTACGTGGAAGTTATGACCATGCGAGAAGACAGGCAGGTACCTAGTGGTTAAACACACTCTCTTTCTTCTGAAATACTTTTCTTCTTATTCTTTGCCCCTTGGGGAGCAGTAAACAATGCAGTGTTGGGACACAAGCCAAACCAGTGTTGAAAGTGACAGCTGATACACAGGGGACTATGTGAAAATTCTGGTTTGAGCCCAGGAAGCCCACCAGGCTCCCCAGGGCCTACAGAAAACGACCTGAGAGAGAACGGCAGAGGGGTCAGCAGAGCACTGAGCTCTTTAGCAGCAATTTTGCTGCTTTAGCAGCAATTGCATGCTCAGACTTGCTGGTTCAGAGAACTGACTACAGTATTTCCATTTCAAATTATTGTGGAATAAGTGATGCCGTTATATTTAGTGTCCATTTCCCTTGCATTTGAATTGAATTGCATTTAAAACAGTTCCCACACCCCCAAAAGCCACCCCCCAAAACAGGAGCTGGTTATTGTTCAAAATGCATTTCAATCAGAAGGAAAGAAAAGAAATCTCACTCCCACCCCTCATTTGTGATTACTGCAGAAATAACTGAAGTTTACTTCTATCGAAAAGCGTGCAGATCTGTCCTACAGTCAGCACTGCAGCTTCTCTTCTGTTGCTCCCCTTGCAGAACCAATTAGTAGATTGCTATTTTTTTAAAATATCCTTCCTGTTTGCATTGCTGTAAACCACATTCGCAGTTTCAACACTTTCTCTATGGAAACATAGTTCAACTCCACCCTTCTCCTAGCGATAGCTGACTGATGACCTGCTCGGTTCGACTTTCTAGATGTTCACTTTGGAACAGGCTGAATCTTGCTCTAGTGAGTTTCATCAGTACCATGACTCTCTGGACATATCTACATCACGCAAAAACTTGGTAAAACAATCCTTGAATTAGTACTCAAATATAGTTCTGCCCAAGACTAAATCCAGAATCAGCATAGTGATTTCTTTTTATTTACCCAGGCTATGAGCTAGTAATGCGGCCACACTGACTGTGCCTGAAGCTGCCCCATATGGTCAGAGGATTGGCCAAGTGAGGTCAGTCCATACACAGGACTAACAGACCTGGTGTAAAGTCCATCTGTTGATACCACTCTCTGAAGGGTAGAGAGACAAAAAGTGGCCACTGCATGTAAACAGGCGTCAGTACTCTTGCCTGGCCATGCGCTGCATCTCATCAGTTGTTCTGCTGCCTCATTAAATTGCATTTCTAACTATTCTCCTGGGTGAGGAGCTCTACTCTGTGTGGCTGTGGGGGGTCTGGGTGCCAACAACTGGTACCAGACCAAGGGTTGCAGGGACCTGGGTGTCTGTGGTGCCAGCAGCAGGAGCAGTAGTGTGAGTCTGTGGGCACTAGCAAAGCGCAAGCGGGACTAGCTGGACTAGCTGGCCAGCCGGCGAAGCGGTCTGGGAGGAGTCGCTAACAGAAGTGCATGGCCACCGCAGGGACAAGGCGGGTCCTGGCCGACGGCCGGGGAGCTGCGTGTGCGAGATGCGCTGTACCGGCAACTGGAGTGGAAACACAGCCCCAGGGGTTTGTACGTCCAGGTGCCAGCAATGGGGAGACTGGGATACAGGGTCAGCTACTGGGCGGACTGAGTGTCGGAGCCCAGCTGCTGCAGGGATCCACACTGGAATTTTATTTCCATTACTGAAATATGTATGCATAATATATTATTTGATGTTATAAAAATATAAATTTTATATATATTT